ATTGAGTGTAGTATTTCTTCGTTTGTTTTAAACCTACGGCCTATTAATTTCATTGGGTGACCCCTAATTCTGGTATTATGTGAAAGGGTAAATAACACTTCCTAATTCATTTTCTCTACACCATTCATTATTTTATAGACCTCTGTCATATCCTCCTCTTAGTCATCTGTTTTCTAAAATGAACAGTCTCAATCTTATTAATCTCTCCTCATATTGAAGCTGTTCCATATCCCTAATAATTTGTGTTGCCCTTCTCTGTACTTTTTCAATTTCTAATATTTTTTTTGAGCGGCGATGACAAGAACTGCACACAGTATTCAAGGTTTGGGCGTAACATGGATTTATGTTGTGGCATTAAGATATTTTCTGTCATCTTATCTCTCCATTTCCTAATGGTTCCTAACATTGTTAGATTTTTTGACTGCCCGTTGCACATTGAGCAGATGTTTTCAGAGAATTATCCACGATGACTCCAAGTGGCAACAGCTAATTTAGACCCCATCGTTGTGTGTGTATAGTTGGGATTATGTTTTCCAACGTTCATTACTTTTCATTTATTAACATTGAACTTCATCTTTCATTTTCTTGCCCAATCACCCAGTTTTGTGAGAGATGCCTTTGTAACTCTTCTCAGTCTGCTTTGGACTTAACTATCTTGATAATTTAGTATTGCCTGCAAACTTTGCTACCTCATTGTTTACCCCCTTTTCAGATCATTTATGAATATGTTGAATGGCATTGGTCCCAGTACAGATCCTCGGGGGACCCCATCATTTACCTCTCTCCACTGTAAAAACTAATCATTTATTCTTGCCCATTGTTTTTCCTATCTTTTACCAGTTATTGATTTGTGAGAGGATCTTCTCTCTTATCCCATGACTGCTTTCTTTGCTTAAGAGCTTTTGGTGAGGGACCTTGTCAAAGGCTTTCTGAAAGTCCAATACGCTATATGCACTGGATCACCCTTGTCCACATGTTTGTGGACCCCCACCTCAAAGAGGCATGGTGAGACATGATTTCCCTTTACAAAAGCCATGTTGACTCTTCTCCAACGTTTTGTTTTCATCTATGTGTCTAATAATTCTGTTCGTTACTATATTTTCAACTAATTTATCTGATACTGAAGTTACACTTATTGGCCTGTAATTGCCAGGATTGCCTCTGGAGCCTTTTTTAAAATCTGCATTATATTAGCTATCCTCCAGTCATGTGGTACAGAGAATGATTTAAGCATTAGGTTACATACTGCAGTTAGTGGTTCAGCAATTTCATATTTGAGTTCCTTCAGAATTCTTGGGTGAATACCATCTGCTGGTGGTGACTTATTGCTGTTTAATTTATCATTGTTTCCAAAATCACCTCTATTGACACCTCAACCTGGGACAGTTCCTCAGAATTGTCGCCTAAAAAAAATACGGCTCAGATGTGGGAATCTCTTTCACATCCTCTGCAATGAAGACCAATGCAAAGAATTCATTTAGTTTCTCCGTGATGGCCTTGTCTTCCTTCAGTGCGCCTTAAGCACCTGGATCATCCAATGACCCCACTAATGTGTAACAGGCTTCCTGCTTCTGATGTATGTCAAAGTTAGATTCAGGACTCATAATTTGTTAGACCACTCTGTTTATTAGCACAGCGCTCTGCTAATACACCCAGATAATGTGAGCACCATGCAAGACCCACGCTACCTTATTTTATACAGATAAAAAGGGTGCGAACTTAACAAGAGGACAAAGAAAGCAGAACTGACAAGTTTAACTGAGGCTAGACATACATATTCCATTTCCTTACTAACTTTTACAGATCTCCGGTTAATGTTCCACCATTAGCTTAAGTGGACTCGTTGTTTATGCCTTAATGTTTCTTTCCCTGACACCTGTATTTCAACATTCCTTATTTATGCTTAAAGGTACATACAGCATTTCTTTAATCCATTCTATTTTTACAATATAATTCATTCTACTTTCACATGTACTTAAAAAAAATTGCTGTTAGTTTTTGTGTCTTATGCTAGTTGCTCTTCAGATTCTTTTTTGCCTGCCTAATTATACTTTTACACCTGACTTGCCTGAGTTTTTCTTTCTATTTTCCGTAGTAGGATTTGACTGCCAGTGTTTAAAAGATGTCTTGTTGTCTCTGTCTGCCTCTTTTACTCTGTTTAGCCATTGTGGCTTTTTTTTTTTTTGTCCTCTTACTGTATTTTTTTTAATTTGGGGGTATACATATAGTTTGAACCTCAATCAGTGATTTTAAAAGGTTTCCATGCAGCTTGCAGGCATTTCACTCTCATGACTGTTCCTTTTAATTTCCGTTTAACTAGCCTCCTCATTTTTGTGTAGTTCCCCCTTTTGAAGTTAAATGCCACTGTGGTGTGTTTCTGTGGTCTTTTCCCCCCTACAAAGATGTTAAAGTTAATTACATTATAGTTACTATTATCAAACGATTTAGCGCTATTCATCTCTTGAACCAGATCCTGTGTGCCACTTAGGACTAAATCAAGAATTGCCTCTCCCCTTGTGGGTTCCAGGACTTTCTGCTCCAAGAAGCAGTCATTAATGGTGTCTAGAAATTTTATCTCTCCGTCCTATTCTGAGGTGACATGCATTCAGTCAATATGTGAATAGTTGAAATCCCTCATTATTATTGAGTTTTCTGTATTTTGTAACCTCTCTAATCATGCTGAGCATTTCCCAGTCACCGTCACTGTCTTGGGTCAGGTGAGCAGTAGTATATTCCTACTGCTATGCTCTTATTATTCAAGCATGGAATTTCTATCTATAGAGATTCTATGGTATTGTTTGATTAATTTAAGATTTTTACAAATTTGATCAGCAGTGGTTTTATATTTACTTCCAAATTGTAGACGGTAATGTTGAATAACGTCAGGCCTAGAACTGATCCTTGTGGAACATTACTAAAAACACCCACATTCGATGATCCCCATTGCAACTACTTTCTCAGATCTCTGTTAGCCAGTTCTTAATCCATTTACCATGTGCAGTATTGATGTTGTATGGTGCTAATATTTAATGAGAATGTTGTTCAGTACCAAGTCGGATGCCATACAAAAATCTAAGCATATTACATCCATGTAGTTGCCTTTGTCAGACAAAACTGATTGCATTTTTTGGTGAGATTACAAGTTTGGTTGATAAAGACCTATTTTCCATGAAATCATGTTGTCAGGCATTAATTATATCCCTGTCCTTTAATTCTTTATTAATTTAATCCCACGTCAACCTTTCTGTTGTTGTTTTGGCTGGGGTTGTTATCAGGCTAACTGGATTATAGTTAATCAGGTTATCCAGCTTGTCCTTTTTGAATATTGGCACAACATTAGCACTCTTCCAGTCTTCTGGAATTTCCCTGGTATTACACAGAATGCACTGACTTTGCAGCAATTCCAGCTCCTAGAGACTGATCTAGGATCCTGTCCATGGATGAACATTGTTCTAATGCTGACTGCTAAGCTGACCTCCGTAAGAACTTGTTAGCAGGAGCAAACTTCCACCCAAAGAAACAATTTTATTTTTTTGTTGCTCCTGGCACTGGAGTTAACACTCAGGTCCCACCTGGACTGTTACCTGGGACAGGGCAGAACAGAAGACTTTGACTAAACTTCTTACCCATAATAGGAATAGTATTTCTGCTATATAGTGTGCTGCACTGTGGATCTTAACAACATCCTTGAAAGTTATTTAAATCAAAGGTGAGATCAGTATTAACCTGTTAAGCCATATGGATACTCTGGGCCTGGCTGTTCCGAAGTTCAGGTGCCTAATGCATCATCAAAATGCGTCTGTATCTAATTTGTGTGTGAAAGACAGGGTTTTCATCTAGTTAGCCATTCACATGCACAATTGAGGTAGTTGTGAAAGAAAGTCAGCTACACAAATTCACTCACAAAATCCAGCTCTGTGTATGCTGTCTGTCTGATTGCATTGTTTTTTGTTTTTGTTTTTGTTTTTTTAAATTTTGCATTGTGGTTATGGATTTTGTTTTTTAATGTAAACAAGATAAGAAGCTCAGTTCTCCATTCCATTATACCATTTAAGCCAGTGTTACTCTGATTCCAGTGGAGTCACAGTGGTGTAACAGGAAAATGAGTTCAAAAAATACACTTTTTTGGAATATGGCTGAATATTAAATATATCTCTCACACAATCTTGTTTTGCTGTGAGTGAAAATATGTATGTCATGTAGGAAGATTTCTTTAAGTAAATCTTGTCTTCCATGTGTATATCTGTGTGTGTGTGTGTGTGTGTTTTCAAGAAAGAAAAATACTAAAAACAATTCATATTTGCTGATGTTCAGAAGAGATTTCTCCATCTGCTAAACTGGAGAATTTCAGTGTCTGACTTGCTGACATCATGGATCGTGTACTGCCTGTTTGATTGAGTATCAAACCTAATGTCTACAGTCATATTCTTCAAAGCCTCCACAATCCTCACTGTATTATCCATTGATGAAAACCAGATATTCCCAAAAGTTCAGAGGAGTAAGCCTGTCAAAAATGCATTTATGACTTGCTCTTACTGATGTTATCTTCATCATTGATTTCCACCTCTTCATTTATTGGAAAATTCAAACTAAGAACCTCAAAGATCAGTATCTATTATGAACAGATCTCTGTCTTTAAGCACAACAGGAAGTCTTAGTTTGACTCTGCTCTTTCTAAATAACATTGTTACAGCTGCAATGTGATTAATCTAAAAGATATTACAACTAAAACAAATGCTCTAAATTGTGTGTACTTTTTTATGGACTATTAATTATGTATCTTTTCTATAGAGATCCATTTACACAGGACATTTTTATTTCCTCTTTAAAACATATTGCATTAGTCTCCATCATACTTCTGCAAAATGTATTTAAATAACTACTTTAAGTTGTGTGCTGTGTACCTGTTTACATCTCCATGTGTTAATGTAATCCTCCAATTCCTGCTTGTGTGTAAATTTACATAACTTTTCTAATTTTTCGTGTGTCCTGATATATAGGTCCCTTGGAATTAGTGGAAGCTTTAGAACATGGAGGATGCCCTACTGCAGGTTGCAAAGGAGTTGGACACATAAAACGAGCAAGACACATGGGCCATCACAGGTATGTGCTATAAAAAGTTGTAGCTTAATTGTTGCTTGGTATGATTATATCATTTAGAAAGAGAGCTGCATATACTTTTTTTTTTTTTTAATTGCTGTTCTCAAGAAAGCAGAGCCAAGCTGGAAAAAAATTAAATCCACGTTGACTTTAGTTGCTATGGTGAGCATGTAGAAATTAACATTAACAATCTGTAATGTCATTGCAGCAAGGTGTGCCTAGGAAAAATATGTCCAACATTTTTTTCATTGCAAATGAGAGATGCGACTGCTCTGCTTTTTGTTCCAAAAGGGCTACTCATGTGGCTGTTCAGATTAGAAAATGATGCAAAAAACCTTTTTGTGCAGCTGCAACTTTGTACCAGTTGAAATGAACAGGGCAGTAGTTTTATCAAAGCTTTTGTTTGGGCTTTTTAAAATTTTTGTCAAAGCACTTTTTAAATCCTTAATCCATATTTCTGTCATCACCTTTGACTGACGGGACTGCTGCTAAAGCTTCCTGCTTAATGTACTTCTCTGAAGCACATTCAAGATATGATGGATTCCAGGGCCTTCCTGAAGAAGGCTCAGCAAATGGAGGGAAGGATTCTGGGGGTATGGAAAGGAAAGAGGGAGAAATATCACAGAAGTCATCAGTTTTGTTATTATTTTAAAATATATCCAGTTACAGTACAAGGTGACCTTAGGACCCCAATAAGTGAAATAAAATCAGTGCGAAGTGTTAAACTCAGAAATAAATATCAAGCAGAACCAAAGGGGCTGGCACAAGGGAAACCCCTATAATCCTCAGGTAAATCAAACCACCTGTAGCTTTTCCTGATATTTGTCAAAAAAAAATCTGTGGGACCACTAATGTACCAATGTGTGTTTTCAACTCGCATGCGGCTAAAGGTGTGCTGTTTGGTAAATTGTTTGAATCAGTCTTTTTTTTTGGTCTTTTTATTTTGGCACCTTCTTACACTATATTGGCAGTTGGGTTCTCCTTTGTCTCCTCTTTGCTCTGTTCTGGCATATTTGCCACCTTCTCTCCGTTTTTCTTTCCCTTCTGTCTTTTTCTGTCCCTATTCTTCTGTCATTCTGCTGGCTTTTTATTTTTTCTTTTCTGTGCATCTTTTCTTTTGAGTTCTGTTTTTTATGTTTTTTTGCTCTTCCCTCTTTGCAGCTGCTTTCACTTTCATGGTGTGGGGAGGAACATTCAACAGTGGGTCTGTGGGTCCAGGTTATCTTTGCTTTTGTGACTGTGCTCAGTGCTAGAAGAGCAGAGGAAAAAAAGCCAGAGGGACTATTGATTTTAGTCTGACTTCATGCATACACAAGGAGCCTCCTGCTGCTGATGGGAACACATTTGCTTCAACTTTGGTCAGAGTTGTGATCTAGCAGCCTTTGCCATCCCCTGTTTGTCTCCTTTGCCACTGCCCCTACCCACTTTTATTAGCCCAGAAACTTGTAGACCCTGATCCTGCACCATTGAATTCAGGGGAGTTTTGCCATTGACTTCAGTGAGAGCAAGATAAAGCCCTTAACTTGTCCAGTGTGGAAATTTTAGAAGGAACAATAAGGGTAAGTAATTGTTAGAAAAATTGTATCTATTCATTAATCTTCTCACCTCTAAAACAGATTTGGCACTAAACATTTTTATATTGGGAGGGCGTAACGCTTCTGGCAAGTGGAGTTGGCAGCAACAAGGGTCAATTCAATGTCTAGGGGTTTCTCTCAACAACAGAAAATAGAACTGGCTTGAGCCCTCACCCAGTAACCTGTGAAAACTAAACACCACCCTGGGTGCCTCTAAGAGGCAGTACTTCCCCTCTCACAAGCATCGAGTCTGTGTACAACAAAATAAAAACGTTTATTCAAAGGGAAAAGGGGACCCAGCATTAATTTGGGAAAACACCTCAACCATAATTCAGAAGCATGTGACCGCAGGCAAACATCCACCCCATAGTGCATTGCGCAGTGTCCTTTGTCTCCATTGCTCACCTTGCGGTGTGAAAGTCCAACAAACGAATGTCCCTTATCGCACCACTCCCCTTTCCCTCCGTGGCACCCCACTCACAGTTGGTGGTCCTTGGTTAGCAGAGACCCAGAGTTCAGCGGTGTGTTAATGGGGGGGTGGGCATTGAGCAATGCCTTGCTGCCACCACCTCTGTAACTGGCTCACAGCTGCTGCTGTCTCTCTGCTGCTGCAATGTCACATTCTGAGGTTCCACCACTTAACCCAGCTCTCAGTGATTTCAGCAGGTAGTGGGGAACCTTACTGTCAGTGCAGCTTCTGTGTTGCTTTCATTGTTCTCAAACAGGGTCTAAGGCTTAGCCCCTAGACTTGCTCAGCAGTCAGGACAGCTCTAGAAGCAAGGACTCTTAATTGAGTCTTATCAGCTCTGTCATTAAACACTGGAGAGCAGCAGGTCAAGTGGTGTTTAGGACTCTTTATGCAGAGTCCATACTGCCAGGTAGGAACACCCGTCACCACCAACTCTCATCTCCACTGGGATTTGGCATCCCTACCCCCTGCTTAGCAAGTGAAGTTCATTTTAGGGTGACCCCCTCAATCAGGGCATGCTAAGCACAGTTCTGCTGCCCTTTACTCAAAGAGTAAGGAGAACAACATTTCAGTACTCCCGCATTCGAATACTAGAGTGATTTGTAACCCAAACCAGCCAAAATTGATCGTTTTGGTAAAGCAGGTCCATCTTGCTGCGCACCTAGGCAGAGTAGTCATTTTTGTGCAAACACAGTATGCTCCTGAAGTTTTTTCCCTCAAGGGCATCACTAGATGTCAGCGGAGAGCTCAATTAGACCCTGCCTACAAGGGGTAAGAATGAGAAAGAGATGTATATGAAAGTTAGCACATACATGCTCTGCTTTTATAACTAGAGTTTCTGTGCTACTTAAAATGATTGATTATTCATTCTGAATATTGAGAGAACGAAAGTCCATTGCAATTTATTGTATTTTATTTTTACTGTAGTCTTAGAAATCCTATCGTATACACAATGACCAATAGCTCTGGGGATAAGCAAACTAACTAAAGGGGTTTTGTTGATCATAAAACTGAAAGATTTGCTTCTTCATAGCAAATACATTACATTATTATTTCACTCATTGTTTTGCCCTGCAAACTGGATATATTTTCTGTTTGAATAGCTCTGAGAAAAAATGAGATTTCTTGTTTATCTGAAACCTACAGGTTTGAGAATCCAGGTCATCCTAAGGATTCTAAAATTGTATCACTACTTTTTTCCTGAATTAGCGAATGTATTGTAAAAATGGTAAAATTATCCACATCCAGGTACAGTTCTTTGGCTCTTTCATTTCAGCAACCTCAGATTGTATTTTAACCATGCTGCTTTTATTTATGTATGTATTTCTTTATCTATCATGATAAGGTGCAATATGTGTGCGAAGTAAATGCCTGAAAGCAGGCAGAGGGATCATTTACAATTCTAAGCAGTTTTGAAATAATGTTGATAGCTTGCTCCTTAGGAGCCAGACAAAAGCCTTGGATGATTAATTGTGACAGGGTTAAAGTGTGCACTTCTTGAAAAAGTTAATGATAATAAGGACTTGTTCTCAGTAGTGAATCTAAGATTTTGAAATGAGGGTAGAAGCTGTGGGACCAGTACGCAAATAGGTAGCATTATGCAAATTAGCTGCATATTTATGATCGTAAAATGTGTGCTTATAGCAAGCAACAATCTTCAAATCCTGGCAGGCATGAAAAGCAATCATTTGTATTTTGTAGTTTGCTAGTGTCTTGGGTCAACTCTTGATGAATAAACATTAAAGCTAGTCTGCTCCAAGGGTCCTCAGTTATAGCACATTCGTAGTTTTTCACTTAAGCAGGGTGGAAAAAGAACATTTCTCCATTCATCATACCGTGTTTCCCCGAAAGTAAGACATCCCCCGAAAATAAGACCTACTTCCAGTTTTGCCTCTCGCTGTAATATAAGGCATCCCCCCGAAAATAAGACCTCCCCAATAATAAGGCCACCCCGGAATATAAGGCCCCGAAGCTCCAGGAAAAATAAGACCTCCCCTGAAAATAAGACCTAGCGCATCTTTGGGAGCAAAAATTAATATAAGACACTGTCTTATTTTCGGGGAAACAGGGTAGTTTCAGGCAATCCTTAACAAGATGTGGATGTTGAGAGAAAATACTGGCTCATGTTGAGCCAGAGTTTCAATTATAATATTGGGAATGGCCTCCTTTCCTTATTAGTATCTCTTGTGTTCCTTGTACTTAGTAAAGACCTAATGTTTGGCAAGTAGTGGGTGATTACAGTGAACACAATTACATTTGCTGAACTACCTAGGCAGCAAAGCAATAAAACTGGACGCAATTTTATTATTCGTTCCAAATCTGTGACTTAGTTGCATAAATTATAGTATCTATCAACGGGAGAGACCGCGAATGCCATAGAAACAGAAATAATAAGCAGTATATGTTTTTACTTTTTCTTAATTATTCTTGAGTCTTCCAGAGTAAAGTTTTTTTTCCTTAAAATAAATTTTGTGCTTAGCCTGTGAAAGGTGTTGGATTGACAGCTCTGGAAACAGTAGTCCTGTGTCCCCAGAACAGTTGCAGTATGGGCATCTGCAATGCAAGCTTCTCCCAGCACTGCCATCTTAATGTGGCACAGCCCTCACTTAGCGTAGCTTAGTCTCCGTGCCAATTCAGTCCTCTAGCTGTCTGCTCAGTTTGTCAGTTAGTACTATTTGTGATGGGGGCTTTTATAAAATTGGACATTCGTCCACTGAACCAGCTCTGATGATGATTTAATGTCTCTAACTAACCTGGATTGAACTCAAAGCAGTGACCTAGAGTTGAATGGTTTAGAATGCCATTATAAATCCCCAGAGCTGCCGAGTTCCCATTTAAGAGAAAATGCTGAAAAACAAACTTAATTTACAAATAGCCACCTGATCAGGCCTGTCAAGTCAATGAATTTGGTTGTCTTTAAGACATATAGGGACTCATATAAAGAAAATATTTTATTTAAT